ACAACAACAACTACTACTACTCCTACTATATTTTTTTTATTCCTATTATTACTAGCAATAATAAGAATAAGGCAAATAACATATTAACAATAGATGGTAGTATAGGAATATCATATCAAGGCGCCTCCGCTCGACCCTCATCCTCAAAGCCCCAAGCCGCCTGAACCCTCGCCTGAAGTCGGTAAGTTCAGACTTTGGGGTTCAGGGTTGGGGTTTAGGATCTAGTGTTTAGGTTTAGAGATCATGGTTTAGGATTTGAGGGTTTGGGGTTCAGGGGTTATTCACGGTAAGGGCGGAAGTTGCCTTCGAGGCATGGGAGCCATCGTGCTGAATAAAGCGGTGATTGGCCGAGGCGCCATCAGCCGCCATGATGCCTGCCGGTTTTAAAGTTAACTATAACAAACCATAATTTGTTATAATATACGAGGATATCCTATAATTTACGATAATATACGATGATGTACTGGAAAATATCATAATAATACATTATACTTATAATATATTATGAGATATATGAATATAACATAATATGCTATGACATAAGATAGTATACCATAATATATTATGATATGCGATAGTGTTCCACAATATACTACTTCATGACTTTATTAGGGCTCAGGGTTCATTGGTTTTGAAGGTCAAGGTTTGCTGATTCATGCTTATTCGGGAACGGGGAACCCTGAGCCGTAGAGTAGTCTTTGTACAATTTTCGCTGTAATCCCTTCCATGATTAAACCCTAACACCTACCTACAACCCAATCCAGCCGTCTTGCTGTGCCCAAATCCACTTGCCAGTCTGCGACATAAGTAGTCTTCGTGGGGTTTTTGGTTGGGCTTCCATGCACGCTGAAGCTTAAACCCCAAACCCTAAACCCGAAACCTCAAATCTTGAACCCTATAAGCCCTAAACCCTAAATCGTAAACCTTAAACCCTAAACCCTAAATCCTAGACCCGAAACCCTGAACCCACAACCCCGGTAGGGCGCGGGCTGGCATGGAGTGAAGGATCTGCCTCTCTGGGTTTAGGGTTTAGGGCTTGTGGGGGATTTGGATGCAGCCTGGGAAATTTCAGCTATAGGTCTACATTTTGGGTCCTGCCCGCACCCAGTAACATCCTATCATAAGGGTAATATTAGCAGTTATAATATGAATATTATTCAGCTGTTGCTGGGTGGGCAGGACCCAATCTCCATTCCTTACAGGGTCTGTATTGGGTTTAGGGGTTTAGTGTTTCGGGTTATAACTCCTAAAAAAGGGGTTATAGAGGGGATTACATCGGGAGTATGAAAGGGGTTACTTAGAATTATATTAGGAGTTTAGATTATAGCTCTTAGGAGGACCCCCACCCTGTAATAGTGGTATTATAGGAATATAAGAGGACCTCAATCTACTCACTATTACCCGTGAGAGTCACTATTACAGGGAGGGGGGTCCACCTATTATAGCTCAGAGAAATCATCCTAAACCTTAAACCCTTGGGATGATGGATTCCCTCTTTGGGTCCGTCAAGCGAGAGCTTGATATTGCTTGCAGCTTACGGCTTGAGGTGTGGGGCCTTTTGCAGGCATTCTGGAACCAAATTCCATAAACCCTAAGTCCTAAACTTTAGATCCTGAAGCGTACATCTTCAATCCCAAATCCTCCGTAAGCAATCCAACACCCGGAGCCCCAAACCCCAAACCTTCAAAGTCCTTGGAGGCAGCATTGTGGGTGCTGGAGCTGTCGTCTTGGAAGGAATGCAGGTTCCACCTTTCTCGCTTCCCGGCACGGTCAAGGGTTTTTAGTATAGATAAGGATTATCTAGGGTTATGTAGGGGTTATATAGGGACAATGGACATGAACATGGAAACAATTATAATCATCTAATAGGGTATACGTTTACGGTTTTAAGGTTTAACGGTTTTGGGAAGGTTGGGTTCAAGGGGCTAGGCCCGGCCTTTGAGTAGATTCAGGGCTCCAGGTTTGTTTTAGGGTTTAGGGTTTAGGGGTCCTTTTTTGTGTGATATGGTTTTGGGTTCAAAATTGTTTCTGGTTGCCTGATAGTTAAACAAACATTACAAACCTTTGGATCACCACTTGAGAAGCTTTCCTAACCTGGATTATCCAAGGCCCCTTACGGCAGTAAGGCCTTTAATTTCCTTCATCTGCAGTAGAACGATAAGAAAATCACTGGCCGGACTTCACTTAAGACCCGTTGATCCACTGGGCTAGTAAAGTCCAACTCCGGCGGGAAGCCCTGAAACCCAAACCCTAGACCCTCAGCCTTACACTCTGAACTCCGAACTCAAAGCCTCAAGCCTCAAGCTCTAAACCCTGAGACCGAAAGCCTGGCTCCCAAGCTCCCTGAACGCCAAGCTGTGAGCTCTAAACCCTGAAGCCCAAAAACCCACAGGCCTCAGGCCTCATCTTATCTTCACGTATCACTACATATAAAATGTATCATCTATGTACATAGACGTGTATCTTTCTAGCCCTGAGGAAATCTAGTTCCAAAACCCTAAATCCTCAACCTTAAGCCCAAAAACCTAGACCCTCCAGCTTTGTAAGTTTGCTTTGGCTGAGAGGTTGGTGGTGGGCTCGCCGGCCCAGGCTTCGAGCCAGCAGAGAAATGGGTGTTATGTCATATCGGGATTTAGGGTTTGGTGGTCTGAGGTTTAGGGTTGAGGGTTTAGGAAGTGCAGGCGAGGTCGCGCGCTCGGGCGTGAAACGCCCTTGGCCGTACGCTTGCTTTCCTTGTGAACCCACCCCGCCCACGCATACTACATTCAAGTAGGGTGCATCAACTCGACATGCTAGTTTGCAGGCTTAGAGGAGGGGCTTGATTAGCCACAGACCGAGGAGGGCTGGGGCAGTGTATGTTTCTGGCACAAGCTTCGTTTGGGGCAGCTTGACGGACTACCTATGGAGGGTGGAGGTGGTTGGTGTTCAACCGTGATCATAGTTCCGTCGCTGCAAAAGGCCCCAATCGTGGCAGCTGGAAGGCTGCTCGGCCCGCTGACATTTGTCGCATTTGCTCAAGACTTCTTGTTGTTTACGTGTGAGCTCATGTGAGGGTCTGTGGGTGCTTCCACTCGCGTGGCTTGCCGCGTGGCTGCGCAAGTTTACCTTGAGGCCGCGCCTGATGGCTGCACAGCGGCACCACAACATTTGCCGACCGACTTTACTATCTATGCGTATGCTCAGGCTCATGGCAGGCTGCCTGTTTCATAGGACGCGACATGGTCTGGATAAATTGCAATCGCCAACGGTAGCTTGCCATTGCTTCGC